TGTAATGGCCAGAGGGCTGTGCTGAGAGTATTAAGACTTGGAATCTAATCCCAGTTCTGCACATCACTGTCTGAGTTTTAAGTTTTTTCATTTGTAAAATGAGTGTTGGATTATAATATCCAGAATCCTTTTCTGCTCCTGTATTCCATGAATCTATACTGTGTGAGACCCTAGACTCTTTTTCTCTATTTTCTTGTTAAATTCCTCAGGTAATTCAAATATCAGTCAGGTTTCAGAACCACTGCACTAAAACAGGCATTTCTATGATTATATAATCAGTTACTTATTATACAGTCAATATTACAAGAAATGGCAACTATCCTTTAACACGATGGCTGAATGTCCTATCATTACCAAGAATCACACAGTATTGTTAGTGGTACCATAGAGAAATGATGTTTGTTCTATGGAGTTTAGAAACCTTAAATATATCTACCCATTTTTTTGCATGCTTTCTATGGCAGCTTATGAATTTAAAAAGTAAATGAAAAGCAATTTGATACATGATATCAAGTACAGAACAAAACAAAATTCGGGTAAACACTTGGTCAAAAAAATGTGCAACTTTATTTATTAGGAATAGAATACACATTTAAAATTATCTACAAACAAATAGCAGGTGGCTTTGTGATCACAGTATACAGAGCCCTGATTTATTCCTAAATCAACTTCCTGCGATATTTTTCCAGTGCTAAAAAAAATTGCTCTAGGTGACAGAAGGCTGAATAACTTACAAAAATGTATGCCCCAGTCCTGCTTCCTTCTTGGAAATATGACTCCAATCTGCCTTTCTTCACTGACTTCTTCTGCCTTATCCTCACAATATTCCTTCCTTAACCTCAAAGCTTGACCTCAGGCCTGCCTTTCGTTCTCTTCCTGCTTGCCTCTACTCACACAGTCCATTTTGCACAAAACAATCTCTCTTCGTATGTAAACCAAACTCAAACTGCCCTTAACAAAAAGATTTTCTCAATTAAATCCAACCATGCAAATCCATTAACAGAACCCCAAACTACTTTTCCCTCAACCCATGTGTCTAATTAAGCCCACATGATTAACTGCGTATTTTGTACTCTGTTTGTATATAATTTCGGTTTGAAGCCATATCCTTCATCTCACCAAATGTTTTGGGTGCTTAAGTTCCCAGAACTGTGGTAGGCTCTAAGAAGCAAAGCAAATAAAATGTATTCTCTGTCTTGAAGGACCTTAGACAGCTGTGTGCACGTGCAAGCAGGAGCAGGTTCTAAGAAGCAAAGCAAATAAAATGTATTCTCTGTCTTGAAGGACCTTAGACAGCTGTGTGCACGTGCAAGCAGGAGCAGGTCTGTATGAGTAGGTAGGTCTCCGTGTGTAGGTACCAGTAGGAAGAAAACTTAATGCAGATGACAGGATTTTAAAAAATCAAAGCAGAATACATTGGAAGCACAAGAGAAACACTAGTCAAATTCTTAAACATGTATCTTATATGACTGCAATAAATATGCTGCTTTAAAAGATAAAAAGTAGTAGTAATTCTTTTTCAGAATGGAAGGAAGGAAGGGTGAGAAGAAAGGAAAACCCAGGTCCAAAGCTCTGAAACTTTTATTTGCTTTATCAACTACATCAGGGAATTCGAAAGCTGTGGATTATCTTCCTACCACAACTGACTTGAATTATAAAATAAAAACAGTAAAGCAATAACTGCAACAGTAACACCCAAGGTGGGATAACAAGCCCAAACAGGTGAGCTGCCAGTGCTTCTTTTGTGAAGGTGTGCACCTGACCCAAGACAGGAGGAAAATAGCACAGCCCAATACTTAACTGATTTTAATGCTTTCAAGAAACCAATATTTAGTTTCTGAAATGCTACCACCTTTCACAGTATACTACATTTCACAATAAATTAAGACTGAAGGTAGTCTATATGCAAAATAACTCCTTTTTAGCCCTTGAAACTACCACATTTACTAAAATGGCTTATTGCAAAAAACACAAGAAAGCATACCTCAGATACCAGTGAAATATCAAATAGCCTTTCAGTTGTGGCACATCAACTTTTAACAGAAATTATCAGTGCAAAAGATTTACCACAACCCCTCATTTAAAAATGTTGCCACATCCTATCCTAGAAATTGTTAATACCATACAAACAAAACGTAAGAATAACTGTTTCCTATTTGAATGTTAAAATTCTCTTTCAAAAAAGAAGGGGTGGGATATGATTGTAATAAAACTTGTTTAAATGTTGCCAATAACTAAAAGGGGGATTTTTACCTTTTAAGGAATACATTCATGATTGTACAGGATGAAATTTTTAAATTGCCAGAACATATACCTTCTTTAAATAAATCTTGCCTGTTTTGTCTTCAACTGAAACAGTTATCTGTAAATGCTCTATAATTATATTAAAGACTATCTGAATTTCACAACATATATATACTTAAAGATGACAATTTAATATTTAATATGTGTATTTTAAAAATAACTACCATCCTTTTATTTCACAGTCAGCTAGAAATAAATCTGTAAAAGCTAAGCCTCTCTTTCACACTGAAGCCTATCATAAAAACTGAAACAGGTTTGGGGGGTTGGGGAGGTAACAACACAGAATACAATGCTGGAAAACTACCTGTAATTTCTGGTAAAGCTGGATGAATTGGTAGACATGGCAAGGAGGGCACTTACACCATTACTGAAAGTAATCATCGAAACCTTCTGAGCTCCCAGACTTCCTCCCTGCCACAGGCAACCCAGCTACGACCCAGGAAGCAAACAATTCCTCCCATGCCAGGGGATTCCCATTCCCTCAATCTACACTCATGGCTCCCAAAATGGTACTTCCCTTTTCTTCCGGGCTGGTATTTTATAATAGTAACTGGACCACAATACCACATTCCGCTAAAAGGTGCTGGTATCTCTAACACAATGTATTCTAGCCTGAAATTCATCAAGTTAAAGACTTAAAACAAAGTAGTTTTCCCCAATTCATCACTCTGGTAAGACTGAGATTCTGTTTACTGGTAATGACAACCACTTACTGAAAATGTATAAATACTTCAATATTCTAACTGATTTTGTACTTAATTTCTTCAAAGATGTTACCACCACCGTTACTTGTAGATTGAAGAAAACAGTTAATGAAATTACCCAAGGTCACAGTTTGTGACTGCATACATTTTACATACTACTTTATTAAAATACTACTGTTAACTTCTATATCCCTAACATTTAGTACAGTACCTGGCCCTTAACAAGTACTCAGATAACTGTCCAGCAAATCAATGATAGCACCACACTTGGTGTTTTGAAAACAAATGGTACCTCTCTTCTCCAGGAGGAGTTTGGAATAAATGGAAGCATTTTAGATTGCCCCAAAATGGGGGGCACTTTCAGCACTTAATGGATGGAGGCCAAACAGTGAATAGTCCTGTCCAAAATGCCAATTAGCACCCTTGCAGACACACTAACTATAGGCTAGTGGTCAAAAAACTTACATGATAAAGTTAATCTACCTGTTAATCAGCTTAATTCATAACTTCCTTAAAATGTCTTAAAAGATACATTAATATCTATGAAACACCATTTTTGCATTTACCTGACATTTGATTTTCAGATACACACACACAAACCTAATTTCAGATATAGGGCTAATGCTCCATCTTGTAACCAAAGCACCTCTCCTCCCCTGCCCACCTGGCTCCTTTTTTGTGTGTGAGTAGGCACAGTTCCTTGCTTGCCCGCAGCCCAGCGTCGGGTCGCAGCCCGCCTCACTTTGTCCCCCAGAGGCCGAGCTCCGACCCCCGCCCTTCATTCGGAGCCCCTCTCCACGGAGGACCAGTCCTGACGTTAAGGCTGCGCTCTGCTCATTTTGCCCTCGCTGTATATAGTCACTGACTCTATGTAACACAAGTGCCCCTTCGGCGTTTGAGCTGTTTTGAGCTGCAGGCAAATCAAGACTCCAGGGAACTCAAGAGAAGCCTTTGCCACCTGGCTCCTTTTTAAACTCAATAAATGTATACCAGATTTGCACAATGACATAACTTTAGAAGCAGATTTCCCACTGGAAAGGAATTGTATTTCATTATTGAGAATATAGTTTGAAATTTCCAGTTTCAAAGGTCATTCGTGTCAATAAAATTTTAGTCTGCCCTACATCATTGCCTGAGCTAACCTTCCAAGGGCACTATGCTAATGGGCTTCTAGTATGCTTTAAAAACATCAGTGAAATGGGAAACTAGCATGAGTTAGTTTATAACTAAAATGGTGAGATTCCACATCCAAAGGATGAAAAAGATTTACTCCTGCAGATTAGATCAGAATATGTACAAAAACAAAATTTAACTAGGAGGTAATTAGTCAAAACTGTTAGTTACACCTAAACAGACTCAAGTTCAAACGAAAGACTGACTGCTTAGGAACTGGTGGTCTACAAAAAGACTCTTTTGCAAAGGTTTATTTTGGCATTTCGGTTTTGCTCTTTGACCAGTGGATTTCACAAGTTCTTGAAATAATCAGAGCATCAGATTTCTGAAGTCCCCAAATTTCTTTTTAGGTTATAAAAACTAATGTTAATGAGGTTTCTAAGACTAATGTGTCAAAAAACAAAAATGAGTATTTCCTGCTTGGTTTTAAAAACAGAATTACACTAACCATCTAGCCCCCAGCATTTACTTCAGTAAGATCCTCAGTACTGTTTCTTTAGATTTTATCTACCCTACAAGACACACAAGAGAGAAAAAAAAAGGGGGAATACTGAGACACAACCCTGAGGCTTGGTCTCCAAGCACAACCTGAGACTGGCTTGTTGCCAAAGAACCATCACTGAAAACCTGAACTTTCAGCTCACCTCTGTTGCTCATTATGTCCTCCAGTTGAACTGTAAATTGAACAGCTTTACCCAAGCTTACAAGTCAATTTTTAAAGCAGGTCCAACACTGCCAAATCCCTTGAACCTGTCCTAGTAGAAAAAATTCACCAAAAAGTGCTGCATCAAAGATTACAATGAGCCTCAAGAAACTCACCCTTCTCTGTAGATGTGATTGTGGCAATATTTTGCAGGTAATCAGCAGGAACAATACACCAGCTGTCAGAAGACCATCGAAGTTATGTCAGACCTAGACAAATCACTTTATCTCTGTTTCTAGCTCCAAGGGTCTAGATAGGTTCCATCTATGCAATGAACAGCATGTTCATCTACTTTTTCTCAAAGACCTGGGAGAACAAAATAAACATGAATGGTAATCGAGTCCTCCCTGATAACTAACTGTTGTTCAACTGTTCTGGAGTAGATCACATTACCAAAGGATAAGTTTGGAAGGCCAGATTTTTGCAAAGGAGTCTCCAACCAACCCCAAAATGATCCAGCCTCCCTGGTGTGTACCTCAGGACAGCACAGGGGTTACTTATAACTACCCTCATTGAAGGGTACAGATGGAATCTAACCATTCTTTCCCTTCCCCAACTCCTTCAGTCAACTAAACGGGAGTTCAGTTAAACATTCTCCTTAATATCCTAGTGGAGAGATAAGGTATCCTGCCTTCAAACCCTTCAGTGGCTCTCCACTTTCTACAGTAAATAGTTTCAATTGCTTTGCCATCTCTTGGTGAGATTACAACAATGTCCTCCTGAAGTGGTCTCCCCTCATTCACTTTTGCACCTTCCACATTCTCAACATAATTTTCTTTTCAAAAACTATGTCTGACTCACTCTACTGCCCGTAATCTTCACTGGCTTCCCTCTGCTTTTAGGGTAAAAGCCTTGCTGGGCCTGACCCAAGCCTTTCCCAACCTGCCTCTCTCACACAGCTCCCTCCAGATTCAGCCACACTGGTCCTCCTACAACTTCTCCAAAGCTTTATTCTTTTTCACATCTCAGGGCATTGATATATGTTGTTCCCTCTGCCTGGAATGCTTTCATTTACACCTCCACATCCTTTTCAGCCTCTTTTCAGATGTCAGTTAGAAAGTGATATCCTCCAAAAAGCCTTCTCTGAACCTTCTATAAAGGCCAGGTCCTTATATATAAACTGTTTCACACCACTTGTTAACTGTTACTCCTTCAAAGCCCACTTCACATTTACACGATTTTTTTATTAAAATTCATCTCCTCCACTTGACTGTAAGCTCTATTGAGAGAGACGCTGTTCCTAAACTCTAGCACTAGCACAATACTTGATATACAACTTAATATATAGTGGAGTGAAGAGGTACATGAATATCATTCAAGTCATTTACCCACCCAACTTTATTTCCCATGTCTCCAAACTCAAATCCACCACAAAACTGACTTTTGACTCCCCTAAAAGCACTATTTTTCCTCATCTTTGGGCCTTTAAATCCTGTGCATTTCCCTGCCTGAAAAGTACTACTCATTTCTCTCCATTGCTGAAACCCCACTGGCTTTCCAAGACCCAACACCAGTTTTTTTCCCCACAGGTTATTTCCTAATAATGCCAGTTCACACATCTGTCCCTGCTCCACAATTCCAAAGCACTTTGCATTCTCTGTTTGAAAATTACATATAACCTCATAGTACTTCAATGTGTCATGTGTGTGTGACTTGACTCCCTAACACTGGTGCGAACTTCTAAGGGTGAACTGTTTACACCCAACTCTTCCACTCCCAGAGACATGCTAAGTACTGAGCTCTCAATGAAATACTTGATTTTTCCCTAACATACTAGCTTTTTCCTCCTAAAAGAATACTAACTTCCCCTGACTCCTCTGTTTCTCAGGCCATTCAATTTGCCTTCTGTGCCTCTCCTCACAAGTTTCTTTTCAGGGGTTTCTTTACTAATCTCCCTCCATTCTAATAAAAAAATGGTTTGCATCCACCAGACATTTTTTGCATCCTGTCTATAAATACCCTGCGTCTTCTGCAAGGGTCCCCTGTCTGCAGTGAGGGGGTCTAACCCCTTTATCCTGCCATCCCCCTACTCAAAAGCGTTTATACCCAGTGAAGGCCCTTGAGCTCGCTGTAACCTCACACACATTACCCCAGATCCTCATCTGGGCCACTCTGTCACCTTTCATCCCCCTCAACCAAGAGGGCGTGGATTTGCTGTGACACCCCCACCCCCAATCCAAGGACAAATGTCCCAGTACCTCTGCCACGGAGTACCCCCTAGGGCCCTTTTTTTCCCCCCTTCTCCTATTCCTTACAGAGGAAACCCAGGCCCCATGTTGTGACGAACTGACGCCAAGAAACCAGACACAGCCACTAGGCAGCTCCAACGCCACAGCCTCGGCCACAGCGCCGGTCCCCATTCCTCCCTCCCTCCCAGGCGGCGACCGCAGCGCAAGGCTCCGCCTGGCCGAACTCCCCATCCGAGGCCGCCATCGCTCACTGACCCAGGAAGGTGTCCAACGAGGAAGTGGAAACAGCAAAAGGTACGGAGGCGGAGGGCCTGGCAGACTTTAACGGATCAGCACTCCATCCCTCCCCGACCTAAGATCCGGCCTCACAGCTTCTTCGACCCCAGCGCCTACGGAGCAAGTCACGTGCCAGAGGAGCAGTCAGCTGACCGCGGCGCGCGCCGCTCCGCCTACGCGCGCGCCACTGCGCAGCCGCCGCCGCTGTCGGGACCTCGGGAGAGGGGCGGAGCTGGGAGGCTCTCTTAGGAGCCCGGGAGGCCGGGAGTCGGAGCTGGTGGCAGCTGTCCAGGGGCGGGTGTGGTTTTCCGCTTTCCGCACTGTCCTGGCGCAGTTTCGGCCGCCACCTGTTAACGTCACCACCACCATTCCTAACGTTATCCCACGTCTTCAGGTTTCTGCTGATCAGAATTTTGTCTCCAGCCCCTACTCAGGCCTCTGCACTCGGAGTTTTTAAAGCGCCCCATTTTCTGAGTAATATCCTTAATAGTTAAGTTCATTCAGCTTGTTCACATTTTCCTTCCAGTCCACTTCAGGTTCATTCCATAAATGGTCATGGAGCATTTACTGTGCACTTGGTATGGTGCTAATTTTTTAGGATAATCTGGAGTGAATCACCCTTGGCACGAGAGAGCACGTTAGCTAGTACAAGGGTATGCGTGGCGTGGGATAAACATCGTAAATAGTTGAAAGCACATTAGACAATGGAAAACCGAGGAAGGTTTTAGGGAAGGCTTGGACAGGAAAAAGCAGGGACAAGAACAGTAGAAAGCCTTTCTTCTGAACCCTGCGAATTTGATTGGCTTGGGAAGATAGGTGGTATTACTCTAATTTAGAAACAGAATTTATTGATTTTTTACTTTAGTCCTTTTTACAGACTTACAGATGAGAGTGAAAAACCAGAGGTCACTGAACTGTTTAGCACAAGGGAACAGACATAATCCAACTTTAAATTCTGGCTGCACTACTAACTGTATACCTCTAAACTTCAGCTTTTCACTTGTAAAATGGTGGTAATAGTACATACCTTATAGAGGTCCTGTGAGGATTAAATGAAATATGCATTTATCACAGTGCCTGGCACATAAGGAAATAGTAAATGGTGGCCATTATCACTACATATTAGAGGACTCAGATTTTCTGACCTATGCCTTCTCTGCTGTTGTTTTCCTGCAGAAATTCACCACAGAATTTCTTAGAGCCTTAGTATTAGGTTGGACAGAAAATAACAACCAACCAAACTATCCCCAACATGATGCTTTTCACCAATTCTGGGAGAAGTTCAGGCAATTCCAACAACCAGTTCTATAACATAGCTTTAGAAACTTGTCAGGAATTCCAAAGGCTTTGGTATCTCAAAATGGGCCTAAAGGCAATATTTTGTTAGATCTGTACTGTCCAATAAAACTTTCTGCAATGGTGGAAATGTTATTCTTTGCTGGCCATATGGTACCCAACCACCCTTATGTAGCTATTGAGCACTTGAAATGTGGCTAGTGTGACTATAGAACTAAATTTTTTAATTTATTCCATGTTAACAATTTAAATATACACAAGAAACTAGTGGCAGCTGCTTTGGCAATGCAATTGTAGNGAGAATATATTCATAAATGACAGATCCAATAAAGGATTGACATCCAAAATATATAAAGAGCTCACACGCCTCAACAAACAAAAAGCAAATAATCCAATTAAAAAATGGGCAGAGGAGCGAATAGACAGTTCTCTAAAGAAGAAATCCAGATGGCCAACAGGCAGAAGAAAAGATGCTCCACATTGCTAATCATCAGAGAAATGCAAATTAAAACCACAATGAGATATCACCTCACACCAGTAAGGATCAACATCATCAAAAAGACAAACAACAACAAATGTTGGTGAGGGTGTGGAGAAAGGGGAACCCTCCTACACTGCTGGTGAGAATGTAAATTAGTTTAACCATTGTGGAAAGCAGTATGGAGGTTCCTCAGAATGCTCAAAATAGAAATACCATTTGACCCAGGAATTCCACTTTTAGGAATTTACCCTAAGAATGCAGCACTACAGTTTGAAAAAGACAAATGCACCCCTATGTTTATTGCTGCACTATTTACAATAGCCAAGATATGCAAGCAACCTAAATGTCCATCAGTAAATGAATGGATAAAGAAGATGTGGTACATATACACAATGGAATATTACTCAGCCATAAGAAAAAAAACATTTTTGCAACAACCATTTGCAACAACCTGGATGGAGCTAGAAGGTATTATGCTCAGTGAAATAAGCCAGGCAGAGAAAGACAAGTACCAAATGATTTCACTCATATGTGGAGTATAAGAACAAAGGAAAACTGAAGGAACAAAACAGCAGCAGAACCACAGAACCCAAGAATGGACTAATAGTTACCAAAGGGAAATGGACTGGGGATGATGGGTGGGAAGGGAGTGGCAAGGGCAGGGAAAAAGAAAGAGGGCATTACAATTAGCATGTATAGTGTGCAGGGGCACGGGGAGGGCTGTGCAACACAGAGCAGACAAGTAGTGACTCTACAGCATCTTACTATGCTGATGGACAGTGACTGCAATGGGGTTTGTGGAGGGACTTGGTGAAGGGGGGAGCCTAGTAAACATAATGTTCCTCATGTAATTGTAGATTAATGATACCAAAATAAAAAAAAAATAAAACTCTAGCAAACATATTTAATGTAAGTAGGATATGATTGCTTTCTAATGGCTTCTAACGGCAAGGGATTAGTGTTTTATATGCAGAGAGGAAGCTCATTTTTCTACATTGCACATAGGAGCATATTGGGTATCTAAGTATGTGTAATAGGCATGCTACACCTACTTTCCCTCCATTTCTAACTATATATATATAGTCCCCATCTGGAAGCACTTTCTAAGCTTAAAGCACTAAAACAATGCACAGGGAAGATTTACTTTTTTTCCTTATAATATTTTAAAGAGAAAAAATTAATGATCTAATTAAAGTGGGGAAATATTTTGAATTAATGGCACAGTGGGAATCTAAATCATTTTCACCCTCTTGTAATATTAAAAATCACTTGAAAGTTGGTACTGGTATTCCCCTTAGGAAAGGACATGTCTTTGCTCAGGAAAATTTACCTTGATAAACTAGCAGAGTAGACCATAAACTGAGAGCATGGGTAAATGGAATCAAAGAAAACAATGACACAACTAAACTAGTTTCCCATAGAGATTGGAAAAAACAAATTGATGGGCTGGAGGGGTGAGAGGGAGGCATGGGGAAGTATAGAGAAGAGAGAAGGGAAAGAAGAAAGCAACACAACGAGGGACTTATAAAACTAGGAGTGTTTAGAACTCCATTGGAGACTCTTTCAATTGCTGTCATGTAAATCCTAAGTCATCTGCCCAACCGTTTAATAAAGTCTAAGTGCAAATGCTTTATATGAGCTTTTTTTTGGTAGAAATTTTTCTATCCAGTTTACATTACAATAAAGAACTCAGGCAAACTGATAAGAATGATCAGTGAGACCCCACACACAAATGAGGAAAAAGCACAGTTGAGAAAAGAAGAAATACCACAGGTTAAAATGGGGAAATGATAGTAGTACTAAAAAATATAAATGACAATATAAATATTTATATAAATAAATAATATATAAAATAAATATAAATAAGGACTTATGTTAACAGAGAAATATATACATTAATAGCCAATGCTAGTAAAAGTCTGATAAGATGGACTGTCTTATACTGCTAGTGTAAATGTAAATTGGTACAACTTTAATGGTCAGTGATTTGACTTATGGGTGCAAAGTTTTAAAAATGCCCATTCCATTTGATCCACATTAGGGTGGAAATAATTCAAAACACAGGAAAATGCTTATGAAAAATATGTTCATTACATTATAGTATCTGTTTTCATCATCAACAACATTTATTAAAGATTTAGTTGAAGAACTAAGCTCCTTATGAAGGAAAGTGTCAAAAATGGGTTGGGTTTTGTATCTTGAATGTTTAGAGTTTAATATTCACAGTTAATGAATAGAATACACTAGACCAGTGGCTCTCAATCAGAGGACATTTGGCAATGTCTGGAGACATTTTTGCTCGTCACAACCTGTAGGGAGAAGGACATTACTAATATCTCGTGGGTAGAAACCAGGGTGCTGCTAAAAGCATTGTACAATGTACAAGGCAGACCCCACAACAAAGAATTATCTGATCCCAAATGTCTGTAGTGCTGAGGCTGAGCACCCTGGTATCAGACCCATGACAGTCTCAGGTTCCCCAATTCTTTATTATCAATATAGTATAAAATACTGTTTTTTAATCTGAAAAAAAATCTGTTTTCAATCTGTAATTGAGACAATAGTATCTACCTCTATTGTTGTAACAATTAAATAGAATCATGTAATAAATTATAATCAATTGCCACTTTGAGCTGTCAGCTAGGCTAACTCACTAGCTAAGAGATTGGTTCCTATATTCCAGCCTCATAGAGAATTCCTGATTGGTCACAGTCACAAATCTTTACATATCATGCCCCTTGTTTGAAAATAACAGAAATGGAATTTTTTAATCAGTAAATGCCAAGTATTTAATGAATACTGGCTTTTAATATCACAGGTTTTCATTTATTCCTGTCCTAACAATTAATATTTAAACAAAAAGAAGAAAATAAACATCATCTATTCTTTCATGACTCTGAGAAAATCACTTGGACACATCCTTGAAGAACATTTCTATTCAGATGCATGCATATCTGCAACCTGTGGCATGGGCTTGGCAGCAGGGGGTAGCGTCTGTGTCCATCCTTCCCCAGAGTAGGAGTTGTGGACATTCCATCCTCCTGGTGCTTCAGCTGGGCTATCAGCTATGGGGTGTCTCCATTCCATTTCCTGCTGTTGACCAGGGTCACCTCTGATGCCTCCTTATCCATGACACCTTTTCTGAACCCCATGATCACATACAGCAACAATTACAGGTGGATTATAGATCCTGCAGCTTTGTGCCAGCACTGTTCTGTATCCTTTGTATATATTAACTCATTTAATCTCAGAACAGCTCTTTGAGACAACTACCATTATTATTCCAACTTTGCATATGAGGAAACTGAGGCACGGGGTGATTATGTAATATGACTAATTAGTAAGTGGCAGATCTGAGTTCTGAACCCAGGCTG